GGGATACGAGCGACTCTTATCGAAATTCGCAAATACGAGTACCAGTCGCAAGTACCGGTATCTTTTGGAAAGATAGAGGATGTCTGTAAGTCGGGCTGGTGGCCTGGTGTTCTGTCGGATTGGTGCGATGGTCTCGTCCAATGCGATTCGCTGTCTATAAGGCGCAAGTTCGAAACTGCCTTGGCTTTCAAGATGGTGGTGATCGTCGCAAGTTGGGAGGTTGAATGTCAAGGCAACACTACAATCTGCGACTGCATAACTGTTAGCGCAGTACTTGTGCGATGGATGGCTGCCTCTACGTTCTACGTAGCGTCGCAACGGGAGGTTTCCTCCCCGAGAGACATACTGAGATACCCGACCGGCTTGATATTACTTTCGGGATTGATTCTACGACCAATTGTGTGTTTCGGGTACGTCGGCCTGAAGTCGAGTGTCGCAGTCGTTGACCTGGTATCGTTCTGTCGGGCAACGGCTACGAGTTGCGAGTCGGTGATAGTTGGATGTCGAGAGACGTCGACAGTGGCGGACCGGCGGAAATCGGATTGGATTGACTGTCGGGTACCGAATGACTATGCGAGTCTTGTCGAGTCGGTATCGTACCTAGGTGTAGGTAGGATAATTCGTTCGTATGTATGTCGGCGACCGTAGATTGGGCGACAAGATATTGTCGATGCAGCTCACGAGAAGGAGGCTCCCGGATAGGGCAGGGGGAAAAGAGTGAAAAATAAGGTGATGGATTGAAGCTGTGTGTGTGTGGGAAGACTGGTCACCGGCGGTCGGGTAATCGGGTGTTACAACTGGGCAGCCAAGTGAATTGGTCGAAGGGCACCTGGAACCTGAAGTGTCCTTCCCTCTGGTGGATTCTCAGGTTCTCTTCCCCGTTCTTTCCTGTGGGGTGGAAGGCTGAACCTGAAGAGACACTGACGGTTGTGAATGGCCACTGGTCGGCTTCACACAGTGAACCTGGCGTGCCTTTTTCGTGGTAAAACACCATTTCTCAACGCGCGCCGTCGCCATTTTCTTCCAATCAGAACGTGCGACGGAATCGCGGGAGCGGAGGAGGAAGAGGCGTCTAGAGGCGCAAGGGACCGCAGAGAGGTCAGTGTCATCCCTGTGCCACTTTAACAGACCTCCCAGAGAAGAATGCGCTGTGGAAATTGTTTAAGTGCCTGCAGATGGTCTCAATCCTTCCCCCCTGCCCCAAGACCCAAGTACTTCTTTAAGAGCTTGCAGATGGTGTACTATGTAGACCAAGAAGAAATGGAGGGTCTGGATCAGGTCGTCCGCCCATCCATCCATCAAAGTTGAGGTATTCAATGCGCTTCAGTGTCAGTGTCTGCACACCATCTCGACATTTTCTTGTACGTACCGTGCATCCGTCTGGCGGGCTGCCGTACAAGTTGAGTGGCCGCCTCCAAGAAATCAATTAACTTGTGGGCCAATGGCAACGCGTGTTGCCTTCCCACACGCCCGCGGGGAACACCGCACCGCGTCTCGGGCCATCGCAGAAATGCAAAAGGGCAGCCAGTGTCTGGCCCGTACAATTAATGCAGCATTTTCTGGTCTTTCATCAGGGAGCAAGATATCAGTCCGTGGAATTCCCGAACCCAATGCGCCCTTCCTTTTCATCGGGCAAGATGACGTCGGCTGGCGGGCTGCTCAGAAAATGTCCATTCTCGTGCTTGAGCAGAGGCAAGTATCCGGGCCGTAGAGGTCCTCAACTTCTCTAGCTCCCCGGCGATGGCATACAATCATCTCTTACCAACGACCTGTTAGCCAAGTTCAAACATAAGACTGCTCGCGGTTCCCTATCAGATCTCATCGCGGTTCACCACTTCACGAGTCTTGTACTCCTCTAGCGCCCAATCCTGCGCCCCGGATTACCTCTCTCTTCGTGCCTCGAGGTGTCTCGACCTGCTGTGCGGTCACATTTGGACAGCGGTACACAAGATCTCGCTGAACTGGTAGTTGAACCTGATACTCGAACAGACTTGCCTACTGTGTAGTGTTCGACGACATTTGATGTTGATGGACTCTGTACCTCTATGGCCGCGAAGGGCGTTAGGTCAAGGCATTATCTGCAACCACTTTAACCATCTGCAAGCACTTTAGCTCTTGAGACATTCATTGCTCCCCCATTGCTCGGTGTTGCGGAAACACCTCGCCTTGTCTCACTTATTCGCAGATCTTTCGTAAGGTGGTAATGCTGGTACTGTTATCCCTGATACATGTCTAGGACATTGTGTCGGCATTGCCCCTTGGACGTTGATGGGCAGACATCCTTGATCATGAAAGCTGCTGGACAACCAAGTGGCATGCCCCTTGCGCGGCTCTTCGGTTGGACTTCGTTCGAACTTGAGTTGTCCTTTCGTGAAAGAAGCCAAACTTCATGTAGTAGAAGGACATTAATGCCATATCGGGCCTGTTTATCATGCGGATTCTTATGAAAAAGACGGGCGAACTTCGCAGTGTTTGTCTCCTGGTGACATGTTCGAGGGGATGGAGGCGCAATGTAATACAACCCTAACCCTCACCGTGATCAAGCAGAAGGCCGCCCCTGAATGCCCTCTCTAGCAATGACAGCGAAGTTTCGAGTACTCCCGTGTTCGCGAGCTTGACTGTATCCGAGAAGCAAAGTTGTAGGCCCGAGTTTCCCCTTAACATCTGCTTGTACTGTAACGGTCGCTCCCAGCACTCGTGGGTAAGGCTAGAGATGATGCCAGCGTCAGACGATCCAACTCAACTCCGGGGGGCAAAGGGGCATCATGCAAGCCAACCGCTACAGCACTCTCACTTCCCCGCGGTGGTTGTATGCAAAGCAGTGATGACAGAAGCGCCCACTCAAGCCATCTCGTACCACCTGGCAACCCCCGGTTAGCGTTCCCGGGGACATGGCTCGCTCACTCAGAATGCACGTCTGGGCCGGTGTGATAAGCCTCGCAGCAGCATCTCTATGCGATCTGGGCTTCGTGGCACCTCTGCTGAAGCTTCCTTGTCCTCTGTAGAAGCTCCATGCTGGTTCAAGTGAGCTTTGATGTCGATTTTCTCGTCTCCTCGTCCTGTAGCTCAGATGTGATGATGCCCAAAGCTCTCCTGAGGCAGTTTCATTACTTCAGTCACGTATTGAAAGTGGCTGGAGCAGATGATATCTCTCCCGAAGTCCAGAAGCAGCTGGAACAGTCAACTGGAGACGTGCCACGAAGCGAGACAGAGACTGTGATCGCAGCACACAGTCCTTCAGCTCGACGGTGGTGGTCGACAGATGCATGAATATTGAGCGTGGATGGACGTCTTTCGTCGCCTGGTCTATCTGGATGCGAGAGTCCTATTTCCGGTGGCGAATCCCAGCATCTCAGACTGATCTCCGCCTGTAAACCAGCGTATCGGCCCTCCTGCGCAAGCTGATGCTCTTGACGGTTAGGCACAAGCGGGGAGAACTGACAGATAGTACCACGTGGTTGACACTCGGGCACTCATGACGCTGTCGGGAGGTGGGAAGTAAGGCCTGGATCGCTGCAGGATGGCGTACCCACAGCTAGGGCAGTGGGTGAGCTAGGTCGCCTGTCTTGGTTGCCGAGATCCTTTTGCAGAGCGTCTCCGGCTGGGGAGCCTCGAGCCAGTCGGTGTTATCGTCGCCAATTCTCGTTCAATGGGCGGGCAACCAAAGGGCATGTTATCTGCGTCCTTCTCGTCGAAGTCCCGGTCGATGACTTGAAATCATCAAGTCTACGACCTCGCATGTCCTTCACGGTGGTCATCTCAAGACACGTCATGGCCGTAGGGCCGACGGGTGAGGAGAAGGACACTGAAAATACGCCGGCGCAAAATCTAGGCCTTGTCAGCGGCAGTTTTCATGCAGGACATCGCAGATTTGACGCTTACCCGGTATGACAAGGAAGGCCCTGGGAGGATGGATGATAGCCCAGCATGGTGACCAATGCAAAGACTTGCTCAGTTCATAGCCCAAGACACCAAACCTCAAAGGTTCTCCCACTGCAACTCAATGTTCATGATCAGTGGATCGACGCTGTCGGACTTGGCTCGTACTGATGATGGTTTCGAAGAATGCCGGAGGGTGACGAAGGCCTGATGAACTGCACAGGGACATTTCCAGCAAGGAGTTGGATATTTTCAACCACTCATAAGCAGCCAAAATGATCTGAAAATGCATGGCATGGGGAGGTGGGTAAGAGATCGTTTTGTGGTTGCCTCCATCAACTTTGGGTACTTAAACATTGCTTGAATTCTGTACTTGGTCCGCACTCGGGGACAGAACGGGTTCAACGGCTCGAACGGCTCCAAGTATCCGAAATGTGTTGAAGTGCTTTCCCACTTGGGATCATGTCCCAACATTGGGGGGTCATATCAACAGTTTCCGGACTGCATGCGACTTGAAAGGGACAAGTTTTGCTCCAGTGACAGAAGGATAAGCATCAAGCAAAGCAGTCAAGTTGCGTGCCAGGTACCCACGAGAGTCTGTCGAGGTGTGACGTTCATCACCAAACTGAACTTTTGCGACACATGTTCAGTCCAAATTCGGAGTACAGGTCTTTTTCCATGGGAATTCCAGGCTTGGTGAAATGGGGTCCTGGTTCAACCGTTACTTGAGCGCGAACTGGTATCGCCAAGCTCGAAGCTGGAGGCCGGATGTTTCGTGGAACTTTAGGTCTTCAAGGTCGACATGAACGAATTGGTGATGGACAGATGACCAGAGAGAAAATGCGTCTGTAGAAAGATGAAATCTTTCAAAAACAGAAAGATCTCTAATCTGAAAACCGTGCCCACCATCACCGCGTCTCCTAGGCGTTGAAGGAAGTCGCAACCCAAAGTGGAAATATTATGATGCCCGGTCACAAAGCGTGCAAGGTTGGCAGCTGCGAGACATATCGCAGCACTTTTCTGTCACCTGCCCATCAACAACCTACCCACGGCAGGCGCACTGCCTGCCCTACAGCGCTGTGAGCTGACCTGAGACAGTGCGCACCTTCCCCCATTGTCCACTTACAACTGCAGCTTCCACCCCGCGAACCTTGCTGTCCCACTCCGTCATCTTATCTCGCCGATAAGAGCTTCGAGTCCATCACGGCCCCCTCCCGTCATCGCATCAACACTCCCATCAATTCAATCCAATCTTCCAGTTCCACCCTCTAAACTACTTGTCAATCATCCCTTCAGTCTGTCTCAAGATCAATTGACACCTCACACACGCATAACCCCGGAAGCACACCACACAATGGCCACCCAAACCGACCCAACACCAACCACCCAGTATGGCGGCAACAACATCGCCCGCGGCGCCCTAATAGTCGTCGAAGGCCTCGACCGCAGCGGCAAAACAACCCAAGTCAAGCTTTTAGAGGAACGCTTCCTCAAAGCCGGGAAGAAAGTCAAGACCATGCGATTTCCCGACCGAACCACGCCCATCGGCCAGATGATCGATTCGTACCTCAAGTCCCAGGCGCAAATGGATGATCATGTTATTCACTTGCTGTTCAGTGCGAATCGGTGGGAGGCTGTGTAAGTAAAGTTCTTGTTTTTTATGTCCTCTTCTTTTCCTCTTCTCCCTCCCTTATTTCCTCGTTCCTCCGTTCCTCCTTTGTTTGTCCCCATTGTGCACCGACAGACACCAAATGAAGACTAACAAGTCTAATAAACAGAAAAACGATTACCTCAGAACTAGCGCAGGGCACCACCCTCCTCCTCGACCGCTACTACCACTCCGGCATCGTCTACTCCGCCGCGAAACAAAACCCCTCCCTCTCTTTATCCTGGGCGCGCGCCCCCGAAATCGGTCTCCCGCGTCCCGACCTGGTTCTCTTCCTAGACCTAGACGAAGAACAAGCGCGCTTGCGCGGCGGGTGGGGCCACGAGCTCTACGAAAAAGCGGAGATGCAACGACGAGTAAGGGAGTTGTTCTGGGGATTGTCACTGGGGAGGGTAGGGACGGTGACGGTGCCTGTTGGTGGTGTTGGGGCTCTGGGTGGTGCTGGGACGGGTGGAAAAGGGGATGGGGAGGTAAATAAGAGGGAAGCGGTCATGCTCGCCGAAGGGCCAACGGAGATGGAAGAGGTGGCGGTTGGTGCGCCAACGCCCCTAGCTGGAGCCGCGGGCGGTCAGCATATTGACAGGGAGTATGCGTTTAGGCAGGAGGAGGAGGATTTGCATGTTGTTGATGCGAGCGCGAGCGTGGAGGAGGTGGCGGAGGAGGTGTGGAAGGTGGTGAGTGCGCGGGTGGAGGCGGTGGAGAGGGGGGAGGTTGGGAAGGTTGCTAGGAGGGTGTTGTGATGCGGATGAGCAGTGGTGTTGGCGTTTGGGAGTTTGGTTTCTGGATATCACGTATTGGCCATGAAGTATGGACGGGAATGAGAATAACGCGTCCATTTGACCGCGATCATTCGCGATGGACCACGCAGTAATGAGTTGAGTGGATCTACTTCATTGTCTAAGAGATCTATGTGCATCCCGCCGATAGTATAAGTGTCAAACCATCTCTTCCTTTCTTCTCTTCCAAAACTGCAATATCCTTGTGAAGCGTCGTCCAACGATGGAGAGAAAATGTTGATGCATTATGTTGAAAGCAACCAACATGCCGAACGACAAAGGGGATATGAAGATGTGATTATATAGACAAGAAGACATGCCAGCCAGCCACGTTTTGGTAATGAGAAAAGAATTTTCGCCGCCCACCTTGATGTTGAGATCCTCGCTGTTATGATTTTTGTCCGGGTGAAACCCCCCTTGAACGCCAGATTTGATGCAAAAATGTTTGCATGCTCCAAAGACAGATGTGAAAAAATGGCTCGCCGTTGAGGCAGATCCTTGGTGTGTGTTAAAATCCCAGTCCCTTTTTGTACTTTTCCTCCTTTTCCCTTTTCCCTTCTCTTTTGTTGAAACCAGTGTCCCCAGCCAGAATATGCCGCGCTCGACTAACGGGATATATCCGGAAGAAGAACGATTGCCCTTCTGCTCTGCCTTTTAAAAACTCTGAAAGCCAGCCAAAAGCTTAACGGTTGACGCCAATCAAGCTCAAGAACTCGAGCCTCGTCTTCTCCCTCGACTCAAAGCACCCCAAGACACAGCTGGTAATGGTACTGCTCGTCGTCTTCTCGACACCTCTCATGACCATGCACAAATGGCTGCTCTCCATGACAACCGCGACACCCTGGGGCTTGAGAATTTCCATAATAGCATTCGCCACCTCCTTGGTCAACCGCTCCTGAATCTGCAGCCGGCGCGCAAACAGCTCCGCAATCCGCGGCAGCTTGCTAATCCCGATCACCGCGTTACTGGGGATGTACCCGATATGCATCTTGCCCGTAAACGGAACCAGATGATGCTCGCACATGGAAAAGACCTCAATGTCCTTGACGATCACCATCTCGTTGTGGCCCTCCTGGAAGATGGCCCCGTTGACGATGTCGCGCACGTTCTCCTGGTAGCCCTTTGTCAGGAAGAGCATGGCCTTGGCGTAGCGCTCAGGCGTGGCTAGGAGACCTTCGCGGTCCGGGTCCTCGCCGAGGCATTCGAGCAGGGTGCGGACGGCGCCCTTCATCTTGTCTAGGCGCTCCTGCTTTTGGGCTTCGGTCTCCTCGAGACGCTCGCGGGTGCCGCGCGAAGGGCGACTTAGTCCGTCGAAGTCGATGACGGGCGAAGGGGAGCGGGTCACGGAGGTGGATGGGGAGACTTCTTCGGTGATGGTGGGGGGAGCGGCGACCGCGGCGGCGGTAGAGGAGGTCTTTCTCTTCTTTTTCTTGGAGGGCGACTCTTCGGGCTTGTCGGACGGGTCGCGGGCGGGCTTGCTGACGCTGGATCGCCTCTCGCCGCTCGAGAGAGCGCGCTTCTTGCTGCTGCTGGACTTGTCCTTGCTGCTCTTCTTGTCCTTCTTGTTGGTGCCGTTGGCGATGGGGGAAACGACGGAGCCCGAGGGGCTGTCGGAGTCGTCGCGTGTCGTCTCTTGGGCCATTGTGAATGTGTTGTGTGGTAGATGGTAAGTGGTAGGTATAGGGTGATAAAGGGTGGTGATAAAGGGTGGTGTTTCGGTAGCAATTGGTTGCGTGGAGGAAAGAAGGAAAGGCAAGAAGGAAGTCAATTGCCAGGCGTGACTCTTGCAATGGGTTGCGACAAGATGGGCCTTGTCGAGTATAAAAGTATGGTGGGGTGGGTGGTCAAGGAAAGTCCTGACTCTTGCGGCAACTCGAATGTTTCGTTGGTCCAGGGAAGAAGGGAAAATAAAATCGGGGACTTGGACGGCTGGAGGCGGAGGAGTGGAGATTTTGAGCGCCGATTCCAGGAGGGCAACCAACAGTTTTTGGGGATCTAGACGCGCTAGACCCAACCAGGCCTATTAGTCTTATCTTATCGCCGTTGACGTCAACTTCGCTGCAGGGCAGAGCCTGCGTTCTGGACTGATTCTGGGGACGAAACGGGGCTCGTCGGGGTTCAATGTGGATTCACCGTGGATGAACGGCGGTCTCGATGAGCGATGTTCGGGTTTGGATGATGGAATCCGTTTGTTTCACTTTTGCCACTTGATCTGGTCAAGGGCCGCAAACCAGTTTGTCACTGCGACCGCATCGTGCATTTCTGTCGAGTCGGTGCATGGTCTGACATTCAAACAAGCTTCATGGGGTCAACGGTTGCCAAGGAAGGCATCAAGTGAATCACAAAGGGTCGTTTTAAGGTTCGGGTGATGGTTCCACAGAGTGTTTTTAACGGGGCCGGTTACTTGTGTACTACATAGTTGGGTCCTGGTGAAGACCTTACCACGACACTCGTACCTGGAGTACACTAGAATCGTCGGATAAACAAAAGGATCAAAGGATGTAGATTTTGCACACTCCCGTCCGCTCCCGGAGGCAAAGCGCTTTGGCTGGTGGAAAGACAGTCAGACGCCCATCATCCGAACGACAGGAACCTAAAGCGGCTCAACGCTATCGGTGAAGGTTAATCTGGAACTTTGGGTATTGATGTTTCAGCTTCTGCAGAATTGACAGGCAACGCTCAAACAGCTGGAGGTTGCCCGTTGCCCGTCACCGCAGATGCCCCACACTCCACGTGACCACGGGTTGCAATTGCAGTAATTACGTGTAACGTACCGCGCAGCACCGCATGTCAATTGTCAACCGCGACAAAGAACTTGCCCGTCCAACGGCATTTCGACCAACAACCAAACTCGCCATCAGCTCGCCGCCAACAACGAACCACGGCCCGCTCCGTCATCGACGATCCAAACCTTACGCGCTGCCGAGTCTTACTTTTGACAACTCACTCTCAAATCAATATACAACATCGACCCGTCACAGAGCGGTCTCCGCTCCGTCAACCAAGCTTGACCACTGCAATCCGCCCAGCTCGCCCAGCGAATCCGCAACACTTACCTACCTCAACCACCCCGACAACCACATCCCCATCCACCACCATGGCCTCACCACCCCACAACAACTACTCCTTCCCCGGCGGCGCCCGCTCCCCACCGCACCTCCCCTCCCTCACCACCTCCTCCCTCTCCAAGAAACGCGCCGCCGACGGCGCCGGTCCCTCGCCCAATATGAAGCGCCGCAAAGGCTCCGTCATGTCCATCGGCTCTGCCCACCCCTTACGCCAAACCTCGTTCCCGCCCGACGAAGCCCCCGGCGGCGCGCGCTCCCCCTCAGTCGACATAGACGCCATGTCCTACGTCAGCGGCACAGCCCAGAGCGTCGGCAGCGCGGCTGCGAGCGCAGCCCCTACCGTGCCTGCTGGTCCGCCGAAGAAGAAGCGTGGCCGCAAAAGCAAAGCGGAGAAGGCGAGGGAGCAGACGCCTAGTGTTGTTGCCGGGACCTCTGGGAAGCCTGGGACAGCGCCGCCTAGTGAGGTTGGTGGGTCGACGGTTGGAAGAGGTGCTAAGAGCGCTGCGGGCGGGAAGGAGGGTGCAGGTGGACAGGGACAGGAGGATCAGGATGATGATGAAGGGCCGACGGAGGTGGCGGCTACGGCGGATACGTTGACGAAAGAACAGAAGGAGGAGGAGCATAGGCAGAGGGGAATGCTGATTAATGCGTTTTCGCCGGATCAGTTTGATCGGTTTGAGAATTGGAGGGCGGCGAATTTGAGTAAGGCTGGTGTTAGGAGGGTATGTTTTTTGTTGTTGTTCTTCGTTCCTGGGCGCTTAGGGATGTCTGCTGACTTTGCCGACAACAGTTGATAAACGCAACCATCTCCCAGTCCGTTACAGAAAACGTGGTTATCGGCATGCGAGCGGTAGCCAAGGTTTTCATCGGCGACATCATCGAGGGCGCACGTCGTGTGCAAGCAGAGTGGATTGAGAAGACGGGCGAGAAACAGACGGATTTGCCTAGTCCGCCGGCGACACCTCACGCGGCTGCTTCCAACAATCCAGGCGGCGAAGGACAAGGGCAGTCGCAGACACAGGGAAGCAGTAGCCGCACAAACGGCGAGAACAAAGAGGGTGCAGATGCAGCGGCCGAGAAGAGCGACGAGAACATGCCCGACGCTTCCCAGCAGGAGAAGGAGCGGGACGATCGTCGCGGTCCCCTCCGTCCGGAACATCTCCGTGAGGCTCTGCGTCGCTATAAGATGAGCTTCGAGGGTGGTGGTGTCGGTATGCAGCTGATTTGGCATCAGCAGCAGCAGAATGGTGTCGAGAGGTTCCCAACGCGGACTGGTGGCAGGAGGATCTTCCGCTGAGCATGCGATACGGGGTCTGCTAGGGCATGCTCACCAGTAATACGTTATTAGGAAGCGGGAACGTTGTGATTCAGTAGCATCATTGTTTGTTGGCGTTTAAGGGGCATGACGATTATCGTTTACTTCTCTTTTTTCCGGTCACAGCGTTTAGGACGCATGGGTAAAGACGGACAGATAGCATAAGGAGTAGGAGCATTGATACCCAATAAAGCTGATTATTTGTTATATTGTTTGTTGCACTTATCACTGCCCAGTCTGTCTTGAGCTCTTCACTGTCAGAAACTGAACATTGTTTGAACCAAATATTCTGGGCCTCCCGATTGTGTTCATTTCCTTTACCACCCTATCACCTTTCTCCGTTGTGTCTGCGTGTGTTTTTCGATTGTTATTCGTCCTGACGTGTAGCACTTGCTTGAAGACATCGAACACTAGGTAGCAAAGAACCTGCGATTTCCAAGCCTAACATGGAAGCATGACCACAGACATAATCAATCTTTACATCGGAAGAAATGAGGGTTTTTGCCCAACAACACTCCAGAATGGCATTTCCAATTGCAATGTGGTCACAAACGAGGTAGAACCCCAATATTTGGGTGATCTGTGCTCCATGTCAAGTTTTGTCTTTCTTTACACCACATGTTGACTTACATCGTTTTTTTCACGCTGTCATGCTATCTCTCATGTCAACAATCTAAGAAATCTGGAGGTTGCAAAACGAAGACCTAATGATAATTAAAAATGTTCGTATTCTCCAACTTTGCATTTGCATGTGTTCAGTCGAGCTTGAATTCTCCATCTCCATTGCCACTATCATTGTATGCACTCATTGTTGCCCATGCCATAAATATCCGTTCACCGCGGCCATGATTGTGTTTGCAACATCTTGTTGGGCCACTTGGTGTCATTTCACTTTCCAACGTGAAGATTCTCGTTCCTCAATTTGCTTATTGTTAGGTTTAACATGATGTCTTCTCAGCAGTATCGTACACTCATCGTTCCTTCCTCGTCATTCTCCAACTCCCTTATCTGTTCCCGCTCTCCAACCCATCCCATCCCTGTCCCGCAAAGGTCACGATGTTTCACAACACGCCATATGCCCGTTTCTTGGCCTCCTAATAAGGCAGTGTGTCGAGCGTGACTGCCTTCGAGGGAATGAAGTATAGAGGTATCATATTGGGGACCTCTATGGTCAGGGCAGTTCTTCCATGAGCCCTGACCCTTGCCCAATGGAGCCTGAGTGACTGAATGTTGACGAGTAGAGGCTCTTGACTTCCTTTCTCTGTGTCTGTCAGGTCGTACGATAAAGGTCTGAACGGACTCAGATGGGAGAGATACTCTGGTCAAGAGGATAGCTGCCTTGTTCGACATCGTCATCGTTGGTCGCGTTACACGGAGGTTCGCCCGCAACTGCTCTTGAGGGAAGGGTTCAGCCCAGATCGTGTACCTCTATAGCCACATCACGTCTTCCAGAAACAGCAATCGCCTTTGACCCTGTGACTCGGTCATTGGCCACAGCCATGACGAGTAGAGGTAGGCTGGGCGAGTGACTGCCCTACTCAAGGTCGTGAACCTTCTCGCTCTTCCTGACTCTGTTACACAACTTCTCACCCGTAACTGCCCTCACGAGCATCCTCAAACTCACGCCAAACACATGACTTCTCCCTTCCTACCCACACATCGACTTCTTAACTGCCTTCCCCAAGCCCCTAGCACAACAAAACATCTGAACTAACGGACCGATAGCCAAGCGGGTAACTGCTCTGCTTCCATGTAGTCCAATCTGAACATGTTATCCACTGACACACTCCATGTTCGATTCACAACAGCGTCGACTGCCATGATTTTCCGACACCTGAGCCAGTGATCAGATAGACAAGCACCGCCTTCGACCAAAACACCTATCCCATCTAGCCACGCCGACATCCTCCGCTCCGACGAAGCATCATCCATGTTTCCATGATCGGTCCCGGGTCTCGCTCTCCTGGCACGGGAGCCTGGGAAACTAACGTCGCCAGGGGGGTGAGTTGGAGCTGACCAGTACCGGTTCGACACTTTCCGGAGGGAAGATGGGCCTCTGACGGGGAGGCGGGTTGGTGTTGGTAAATACGTGAGTCTGTCTCTTCTGTTCCTGGTTTCTGTGAGGTTATCGGTTCGTTCAGATATTTTTTTACTCGCTTTTTTCCTTGTTTGCGGTTAGTCAAGTTGTTCCAAATCTCGAAGCCAAAGTCTTGAATGCCTTGAAGCGAGTCAGAATCATATGGGCAGGACGCAGCAGCATCTCGGACTAGATGCTTCCTGGTCAATTTTGACGAGACAATGATATTGACTCGGACAAGAGGCACCTTGTTGGTTTGTTGCTTTGAAGGAGGAATATGGTGTCACGCTGACGACCACAGTAAGGGCTGAACAGAGGGCAAGAATATTGTGAAGGTATGGGAGGGAATGTTGTTCGTCGTAGGTCCATTCGGTCGTACTCGCTTTGTTCGTGCTGAGCTTATGGAAGTGGACTTTTGCACGTTGCGGCAAGTTCCGCTATGTGGTTTTCATTCATCGCAGTCCAAATTGCACGAGGACCTGGTGCAGCCGTGAAGTCAACCTCAAGCTGAGCTGTCATCGGCGAGCTTCACATTTCTGTCTTGTCCGAATCCATCCCTTCTCCTATTGATATCATCTTGTTAGACGAAAGTTGGCCACATCATGCAAGCAATAGGAGACAAGTCATTAAACAGAAGCTTTCGCGAGTTCGATGCTTTGACTAACAAGATTCCGATCGACAGCTCGTTACCACATCAAAATGCGAGGCTCTATCGGTTCTGGAGCCAAGCTGAGCCGCAACCGGTAAAATTGAAGGAAGACACTCAAGGAGTCAAGCTCTCCTCCAAGGTCGAGGTGCAAGCTTGACCCGGAGCGGTATGGTTTCGTTGCTCTAGGCACCGCGGTCAGCTCCCGGCCACCCAGAGAAAACATGGACGGCCGCCAACGGCGTGTTCTGGCCCACGGACTTGCTCCCGGCGTCACTGGAGCTGGAAAAACCAGCATGCCAACGTCCTGGTTTACGCTTACAATGCTGACGTCTACTCAAGGGGCACTAACACTCCCAGTAACAACTTCATTCACCAGCACGCTCAGTCTCTATTAGTCACCTCGCTTACTCGTCGGTTAGGTGGGAACGCTTGCAGCCAGCCAACCAACTCTCCTCGTCCCTCTGAGAGTCGGCTTTTTTACTTGTATCTTTCAAGCCGTGTATCTTTCAAGCTTTGGAAGGAATCCCTCAACCAAAATGTAACCAAACCATGTGCAAAGATATTCATTCGATACGTCTCAGCTCGGGCTATCTATCGGTACCCGAAGCGATTCGTTATTTTGGATTGTTATTGTTTTTTTCCGTTGCAATTCTTCCTTATAGTGATCCGTTATTACTTGTTCGAGGGAGGGTTAGGGTTGTACTAATCTTAGTATTGAATTCAATACTGAAGTTATTTAGACATTTGGGATTGTGTAAAAACATTCCTTAGATACGCAAAGTATAGGTTACCTCCTATATGTCTTCTTGAGTTAATTATACTAGAAATAGTGGTGTTGTAGCTGAAAGTCTTGAAAGATACACCACTTGAAAGATATAGGTAAAAAAGCCGACTCTCAGAGGGACGAGGAGAGTTGGTTGGCTGGCTGCAAGCGTTCCCACCTAACCGACGAGTACGTCCTTCCGCAAAAATGAAGGGACCGAAAGACTGCCGATCATATGGGTGGTGCACAGTCTGGGAGGTAGAGTAACGAAGAGGGCGTTGCTTTACTCAATGGATATCCGAAGCCCATCAACAAGAAGATCTCTTGACTGCCACTCAGACCCTGCTGCCACTCGTCGGGGATCTCGCACATGTCGGGGACCTTGGGCCAATCTTTTTCCCTTCAAGTGTGCGGCTCAGGCTGCTGTGCGTAGGGCGGTCGAAGGATGTCTCTTGGGAGCGCGTGTTCTGCGGCGAGGCCGGGACATGGTGCTGTATGTTGTCGGGCCGTCATCAGGAGGAGGCGCTGGTGGTAGGTCGACGCCAACGTCAAGTCCGTCATGGCCGTCGCTGTTGTTGAGAAGCGGCGGATTCGACCGCGCGAACCACGCCTGGTATTCTTCCTGAAGTTGCTCCTGCAACAAACGTGCCGAGTCGCTGAGACCGTCCGTGTCGCCTCCATCCACGTCATTCGGGATTTCGGGGGCGCGAGAGGCAGCGAGATATCCGTCGTCGTCGACGTCCTCATACTGAGCTTCGGGGAGTGGTGGGAGTGCTCCAGCCGGGACACATGTCTCAACCTGTGGGGAGAGTATGCGTCGTAGACGTTCATGCGCCGTGTCCAGGCGCGCCTGGGCCGCCTTATACGCTTCGTCCCTACAGTTCCTGAAGGCCGTTAAACCTGCGCGGTACTGCTCATAGCTCTCGGTTAGGCGGTATCTCTTGATATGGGTCATATGGTACCCTGGCCGCGAAGTACCGGGTCTTGGGGCGCTGACGCGCACCCCATAATGGGTGAGATCGCCGGGTGAAGAAAAAAAGGTCCAGGCGTGGGCCAGGACCCGGTTGTCGTAAACGGGTTGATCCAGCCCAAAGTTTTCGAGAGCAAACTGAGCACGAGCGGCTGCTGCGGAACCGTAGGTTGCTTGCCTCTTAAGCACTTCGAAACTCCCCTCAGGACCTTTAGTTTCGAAGACCAGATACGGTGCCCCCGGTGCACCATCACGTATATAGGGGATAATCAATGAACCGATTCTCTCCCTAAGCGACATGTCGATGTCGTCGACTGGCAATCCGTAGTATAAATCAGGCTGTGGGGCAACAGTTTGATCCTTGGTCATCGAGCTCAGGTTGCTCCAAGTGATGTTACTACCCTCTGGAAGCTCGCACTCGCCAAGGATGGCGGGCACGAACCCGCGTTCGGTACCCAGTTCCGTGAGCGCCTTCGCATTTTTGTTTATATAGTACTGGACCCGTTTGTCGGGGTATACGGACGGTTCCAGCGAGGGCCTTACATCTCGTTCTCCCCGCAGTTCTTCCAGGTTGGCCAGCAAAGAGGGGTCGCCGTTCGAATATATTCCACAATCTCGAAGGATTTGAGCGAAGGCGGCGTTGTAGGCTCTTGATCTCTTCGACTTGGTCGAACCGGAGACGGTCGTCTCCTTGGTTTGTTCCGACAACACCGTCACCTTGGTTTGTCCCGACTCATCAGACAAAGGATGGCCATTCGAATGGCGGCGGGCTCTCAAACGGGCACGCCACGTCTTGTCGAAGGCCCTGAGATTCTTAGTCGTCAACTTAAGTGGAGGAGCGTTGGCCGACGGACCGATCTCAGATTGGGCCGGAAGAGACCACGGAGGAGACGGGGGAGACGGGGGAGACGCCGGGTCAGGGCGCTGTGCTTGACGTTGGCTCTGTTGATCGGCGACGGCGAGATTTGTCTGGATTTCGTGGTGTTGGTCGCCCGTCTTAGCTTTCTTCTTGACCCGCGATTTTTGTTGTAGGCCGTCTTGGAGTGGCCTTTGCCTTTTCCTTGAAGACTGGCGAGCCATGGCACTGGAAATAACCGAAAAAGAAGACGAGGCGTGAGGGAGAAGCAGGATGTGTTGTCAGAAGGATGCGTTGTCTGGCTGCCTAAAACGGGGAAGACAGCAAGTCGAGAAGCGCGGGTTCGCGTATCCAACCAAAAGTGTAGGGCCTCCCTTTTGGACGGAACGCGCTAACAAGAGACTGCAGGTCCGTCACTTTACCCCGCTGTCCATACTCTACGGAAGCCCTTGCCAAGTGAGGGAGCACGTTGGCAGTCGCCCTATTCTGAGGCTACTTATAAAGGCGTGTTCGGCGCTTCTGAAATGGTCCTCTGAAGTGGTTTTCTGAAAATGTGGCCGTGAGCGGTACTTCTGGTGTAAATAGGTTCCCGGTTCGGCCGCGGGACGAGGCGCGGGAGTCGTCGGGACATGCTGCGAGACACATACAACTTTGTGTGGTGGTGGTGGTGGTGGTGGTGCTTGTGTGGGAAGAGGTCGGGCCCGGCCAATGTGGGGCCTCCAGTTGAATGTTTCGATTCGTGGAGATCGCTCCTTCTTCCGCGAGCGGGGAGTGGTTGGCGTGGTGGGAACGTCGTGTTCATCTTGTCATCCCAACGGAAGCAAATCCCCCCAAAAAAAAAAAAAAAAGGAAAGAGGAAAAGCACGTCCCTCTCTTCTCCTCACGTCTCACGTCTTGTTCGCTGCGGGTGTTGGCATCTGGGCGACTCAAACTGGCGACGCCTCTCAACGCCTTGGGTTCGTTGCTTTTGTGGTGTTCTTTCCTGCCACCTGAGATCTCTTGGCGTCCAAATTCCGTTTAGCAGCCAAAGTGCTGCTGAAGCCTTCAGAGGTCAGACTCTCTTGGAAAAACTGCCCGGTCAATGCGCTCTGAAAATCGAACGCCAAGGAGGAGTAATTCGAAAATCACACCGGGGTGTTTCTAGCCCCATTGTACCCTCTAATTTCAGAAAGCCATAAGACAACACATCGGCAGGAAGGAAATCGACATTCCGCGTCGTCAAGCAAGACGCCCGGATCAAATGCTAACAATTGCAGTCTGGTAACTCTGGTTCCTCGGCCCACCAGCGGCCATCACCTCCGGATTGGGAAATGGTGGCCGGGGGGTTGTTGACCCCAGGCCAGGCCGCCCAGGAGTCCTGACGAATTCGAACAGAATCGAAGAGAAAAGCTGGGGGAGATTGGCAGTTGCTCGATGGGTGCTCTTGGACGACAAAATGTCACTCACGTCACCTTGGTCACTTTTGTCCTTTCAAGTTTCTGTGGCGCTGGTTTTCCCCAGAAAATGCAGAGATGTCCGTAGAAAGACGCCTGGGGATTGCATCTCCTGGATAATGGGGCAGTTGACCAATGAGCTGTAACTGGAACCGGATTTCCCAAGACGGGCAAACAGGTCGGCGTGGACAACGCTTTGTCACCGAGGTCACCGACGGTGAGCATTGCAGCAGAGAGTGAGTCGACGTTGCCAGTCTCGCAGCTGCCAAGATTGCCAAGACTTCCCCGCATACACGCCAAGCCGGTCCATGTCGCCACTGACCACCAGACCACACAGCCACAGAAGCAAAGCGGCCGACCTTGCTTGGTGCCCTGACCAACCTCAGCCCACAAGCTTGAATAGAAGGACCAGAGGAGGACATGAAAGCGAGCGAATTGATTTCTCTTTGTATTTTCTTCGTTTGGGTCCTTTTTATTTCGTGAATGAAGACATCAATTATCCGCACACACCACAGTGACCACACCACACCAGGAACTATCAACAACCGACACGAGTCACACTTCTTTTTCTAGAGCCCCTGGTACGAAAGTACACGAATACGTACACTACAGGGTGACGTCGGGGGTGAGTGGTCAGATGACACGACCCTATACTCAAAGCTTCCTAACCCTATAGTCCGTATATTTCTATATAAAATTGGTCCGACCTATAAAAGAAAAAGATTAATATAGTTATTACAATATATATTCGTACGGAGTTGATTTAATATATTAAATTAATAATAATAGTTCGAATAAAGTCCAATAATATATTTATAATATATTTGGAATATATCTTAAACTGTAGATGAAAAAATTAGGCTTTGTAGGTTTATCCGGATTATATATATAAAAGTCCCCCCGTAGAGAAATAATTTTACTCGCTCGCCTAAAGTTCCCTTGTAAAGAAATATAAAGTCTGATAATATATTTATAATATATTTGGGATGTATTTTAAATTGTAGATGAAAAATGAGTAAATTCCGTAGATTTATTTAGATAGCGGCGGAATTCGTACCAAATAGCGTAGCTCCGGCCTTTACCGCCTTATTTAGGACGGTAGAGAGGAAGATTTATAATAAATCGATAATTAGTAAAGGATTTATTAAAAATATATTTAAAGTGAAATTTATAAATCTATTTAAATTCTTTATATATTGCGTAAATAAATTTAGCGGAGGAAGTAATATTATTACGCTTCTTATTTATTTTCTTTATTAATTAGGTATTAACTTAAATATTAATTAAATTAGTTAAAGATAGTTAAAGAATATATTACGAATAAATTAACGACTTATCAAAAATAGATCCAAAATACTTATATTGCCGTTCTTCTAAAAGGGGACTTTTATAAAACCGTCTTTTTCTATATTTACCTCCTCTTCATTCTTTTTTTCCTATACTTCTTATTGTTCCTCCTCTTATATTTTCTACTATTCCTCCTCTTATATTTCCTCCTATTCTTCCTTTTACTCCTCTTTATATACTTCTTACTATTCCTCTTCTTATATTTCATCCTATTCCTCCTTCTATTCCTTCTTCTATTCCTCCTCCTACTCTTTTTCCTATTCCTCCTCCTACTCCTCTTCCTATACTTTCTCCCATTCCTCCTCCTATTCTTTCTTTTACTCTTCCTCTTATTCCTCCTCTTATACCTCTTACTACTCCTCCTCCTATACTTCCTACTACTCCTCTTCCTATACCTCCTACTACTCCTCTTCTTTAATTAATAGTAAATTTAATAAGTCTGATTCTTCGTTAATAATCGCTACTTTACGTTTTTTAGGAATAACCGGCTATAAAGTCCTATTAAAAATAAAGACGGTTATAGCCTAACCGGAGGTTATAAAGGCTATAAAATCTTTATACTATCCTAAATTTATTTATAATTAGTTTTAAATTATTTAAAAATTAATTAGGGATAAATTATATATTAATAGTAACTATATAAATCTTAGCCGTAATATTTCCGATTAAAACGTTAAGTAAACGTTCCTTAAAAATATTGTAAATACCCTTTAGATATCTAATAAGATTACTATAGGTAATAAATATAATTTAGATTAATTAAAGATTAATTATTAACTTAATATTAAAAATTTGTAAATATTATTTATATTAAAACTATAGTAAATATCCGCGCTATTATAATATAGCTTAAGTTTTTTCTAGTAGTAAAAGATTTTACCAGGGGCGATTATATATATATTTTATAAAATAATTAGTTTTAATATTTATATATTTATCGGTCTCTAAAAAGGGTATTACGGCCTAGCGTTTACCTTTATCTTCGGGTTTAGCGGGTTTCTAATTGCTATTTAAATATTCTTTATATACATTAGAGGCTGTAAATTTGTAGTAAGCAGGCGCTATTATAGAAAGTAAATCGCTAATAAATCTTTAATTAATTTTAATAGATTTCGGAGGAGTAGCGGGGGGTAGACGGGGGTAAATTAATAAATATTTAAATAGTCGAAGAAGAATTAGGAAAAAGAAATTAAAAAAAAAAAATTTTCTAATTAATATAATAATTATTCTTCTTATTAAATTAGTAAATACGAGTACGTAATTACGCTATTTATATTATATTATACGTATCCGCTAAAAGGAGTAAAATATCGGATAAAATCTATAGTATAGGTTAATTTCGAATAAAACCGGGATAAATCTAATTTTATTCGCTCAATTACTTACACCGGCCTTAATTTTTTAAAATAATACTACTTAAACTTTATATAAACCCGGTTAATAATTGTATTAAAAGATTTAATATTATAATATAATTAATATTTGTATATATTACATTTTTGAGAAGTTATTAATTTAAATTATATATTATTTTTTTTGTACATAAAAAGAAGATTATAAAGTATATTATAAATTTAAATATATTAAAATACTCTATATTAAAATAGTAAGTAGTAAAACGGTTATTAGTAGATATTTATCTATGGAGAAAGTTCAAACATATAGACTTTAAATTTAGTATAATTCCTTACGTAGAAATATTAAATACCTAGCCTCTATTTATATGTACGAAATAAGAAAAATACTTAATATAAGGCACTTATTATTAACGTATAAAAATTAAGCGACGAGTAGGAATATAAGATCTAATCGTTATTGTTAACGTGTGGCTAGTACTGTGCCTTGTAACTGCCTTGTACTACCTTGTAGTATAGAAGGCTAGTTGAACTATTCCTTCTACGGAATCAGTTGACTCAGTCCCCACAGAATGTACTAGAATACAAGAGGTTTTGCCACTGTATTCTAGAGTCTTATAACTTAGCTAGCATTTCTTCCAGACTGATTTGTCATCACAGGATTCAACAGAAGCTTCTAGATGCTTAGTGTCCATGTATATAGAG